GCTGATTTCAGGCTACCAACCTGAAGTTACTACTGAACACAGAGCTGAGAAGAGATGTGCTTGCTCAGTATACTCTCACCAGCTGACAGACGCTCCAACACATCACTGCTGCTTTCTCTCTGACGTTTGTCACAGTCCATTATGGTTATTCACATGATCTCCTATAGCAGAGATCATACCTTATTTGTATTTCTGTTGGTAGCAGTTAGTACATGGCAGGCTATATAGGATAGGATCCACAAGAACACTTGAATGAATAATTTGGGTAATAAATTGTATATATCGAGCTTTCTAAACACCCCTAATTCAGTTAAAACTGAGGAATTTAGGATGTGGTTCCATAGTGTAGCGGTTAACACATCTGCTTTACACGCAGAAGGTCCTGGGTTTGTGCCCCAGTGAAGCCACGGTCTGTGGTCTATGGCCATGCCACCTTGAACAAGCCCAATATCTGATCTCGGAAGCTAAGCAGGGTCGGACCTGGTTAGTACTTGGATGGGAGACCACCTAGGAAGGCCAGGTGCTGTAGGCATAAATAATAAGAAATTAAAAAAATAAAGTGAATAAAAACTGAGGAATGTATAGTAGCAGCTCAAGGGATGAGAACTGTGAGCCAGATGACAGAGCCCTCATCTCCAATGTGTGGCAGATAGCCCACGTGGTAACAATCTCTCTTTGCCCCTCATCTGTGTGGTGCTGATATAGTTTTCCAGTTCCCTTCAGAGGCTGAAACCACCCTGTGGGGATGCAGTGCTCACTCAGCAGGCCGTTCGGCATACAGCTGCATGAGAAATCAGCAAGGTGCTAAGTTAAGGTCAGGGAGGGCACATGTTAAAAGCAAATCTTTAAAGATTCTGTCGGGTTGTACATTAGCCACTTCCCCTTTAAGGAAAATTGAGTGTGCAGAGTTGCCTAGATTCTGGAAATAGTACCGTAATACCCCAGACATAAAAGAAGTTTAGAGCCTAAAAGTTGAAGAGTGAGAGAGGCCCCAAAAAAGAAAGCATAATTATTTGAATGGAAACACAACAAAATGTTACTTAAAATTATTAGTTTTTTTAAACATAAAAAATGTTGCCTTTCAGAAAGTATTGGATGTTCAAGTTAAAATTTTTCATTGAAAAATAGTTACCACAGTTTTCATGTAAAAGATATTTTATGTGCCTTCATTATTTAATATACTGATTTTTAATTGGCGCTACTGTGGTACATTTCCACAACTTAAAAAGAGCAAGTACCAAGAGTGTCGAATATGACATTATATTTGCATGTTGCACCTAATAACTGTCTGAAAAATATGCATTTTTTTCTTGATCTTTCTATTGAATTATGGATTGTGAGGATTTGCAATGGAACATAAGTATTCAAAAGAAGTTTTAATAACCTTTAGAAAATACCAAAACCAAGAGTAGCAATAGGAAATATACAAGGACTTTTACATCTGAACTTTCTGAACTTAAATCTATCCTGCTGCTGTTCATCTCCTTCAAGTTCAGTTACGTATTAATTCAGATATTTTATTTGAATATTTAAATTTTTTGTGAAACTACAAATATGTAGTATTCGTTTAATTTTGATTCTCATTATTTGGAAAATATTGAAGGTAACCCCAGGATAAAACTTTGAGACATTGGTTTTTACTGTCTTTCCTTATTGTTTATGATTAGGTTATTTGATTCTAATTTTATAAGGGGTAATAAAACTTCTTATTTACCTGGGTTATTGAGAAATTTTAAGACACAGCATTTCTTCATTAAAAATGACGCTGTAATATATGGCGAATCACCATTGTTGGGAGCACAACTATGAATACACAAAGCAGAATATCTGTTACACGCTTTCCAGTCAGTCATTTGGTCTGAAAAAAATAAGGAATAATAAACTGGCTCTGACTGTCAGAATATTTATTTTACATTTAAAATTTAATATGTATTTGAGCATTTTCCTGAACATCAGCTAATACTGAGCTCAGAAGAACAGCTCTACATAATTTATTTTTCTCCCCTTCCAACTTAGTGTCTTGCTTTTCTTTGTTCTAGTTATGGTTTTTACAAGTCCTTTATTGAAAAATTTCTGGAAAATTATTTATATATTTTTCATTAATTTTATTTTATATTTTCCCCTTCTCATTTCTCTTGAATATATACAGTTTATTTCTAGACATTTAACTACCCCTTCTAGTTGCTTTTCTTGTTGCGCTTCTAAATATAGTCACAATTTTTGGAGCTCTCACACACTTTCCATTCTTGTGACTGTGGGATAGATTTTATGATCTCGCCATACTGTTTGCTGTAGAAGGTCAGACTCTTTTCTCTCACTTAGCATATCAGACCTATGAGTGGATGGGTCAATCAGACTGGGGAATATTAAACACAGAGTAGTAATAACACAATAGTAGACTAAAAGCAACATTTAACCGAATAACTGAAAAAATTTATATATGAGAAAAATACAAGGAGACTAATTTTCATCCCATTTTTTTTTTCTTAACAAATGTCTTTTAGTAGTCTCTTGATCATAAATTATGTAAAATCCAAGCACAGAAATCTCAGACTTTTAGATGGTCTCTAAGACAGGATTTATTGTATAAAGAATTTTAATTACAAAACGTAGATAATAAACATTTCTGAAAACGTAGAATAAAATTTGAGGCAAGGATCCTAGACCCACTCTATTTTCTGTTCTAATGTTCCAACTAATAGAGTATAATTCTAGTTATCAATAGTGAATGAGAATCCATGGTTCCACTTGATCATCATAGAGACTGGATGAGAGAGTGGCTTTCACACATATGGATTTAAACTTACTCTACTCATTTGCAGGCAGAATAGCTGGCAATGATAATAAGTCCTGCCAATCAGATATGTTGCAAGATACTACCATGGTGTGATTGCCACAAGAGAGAAAGAAATGGGCAAAAAATATAGGCTATTTGAGGGCTTTCAGGTCAGAGATAAGGTGAGAGAAAGCCAGCTCACTGTTTCACTTCGGCGAAACAACTATGGGCACGCGAGATGGGTGTGCATCATTATAGCCTCTGACAAATTAACCCACTCAAGAGAAGAAAGTGGTCTATTATGTTTTGACTTCCTCAGGGTAGAGAGAAAAGCAGAGGCCTTTCCTTCAGTCATTTCAAAATTGTGTGAGAGTGTTGGTGTGAGTTTTCTTTCTTATAGAAATGTTAGGATGGTGGTTGATTGACCCTTGTTGAACAATGAAAAAGATTCTAGATCACATTCTTAAAAGCCCTCTTTCCTTCCAAAAATATCAGAAAGCTTATTCTTATCATGGACTTAAAGACCAAAATTTACGCCATTTGCCATCTGTAGACTACAGTCTTAGAACAAATTATGTGATAAACCGTACGGATTAGGAACATTTCTGATATTACCTAAAAATAATATTTTGTTGTATTTCTATTAGTCAGCAAAATTAGAAAGACAGTATGCTTATGTTAACACTTTCTACAAAATCCCAAATGATGTGTAAAAAGGACAATTTATCCTTCTTACCTAGGATTATAAAAATTTTCAGAGAAGTATGTTTCTGTGATTTGCACCTTTTTAACATGCCTTGGAAATTTAAGAAAAAATAAAATGGATTCACTAAATAAAGATCATATAGTATTATTTTGAAAACAATTATAAAAAATAAAATATTTATAGTAACAATAATCTATGTAGATTGATTTTTTTTTAATTTGGAAAATGTAATAAATAGTAAACCTAACTCAGACTGTACTTGTATACAGTACTAAAGTACAAACCATGTACCCAATCTCTCACTAAATCTAATTCAATAGTTTTTTACTTTTTCCTCTAGAGTTTATGAACCAACCAAAAGATGTAAAAGTTTCAGGTGTTAAACGAATGTTTTATGGCCATTAAGTAGCATGCACGATGTTCCAGGGAGCATAGCGTGCTGAGACTCCCTAGTTTGATCACTTGGAAAGAGAAGTTTTGAAAAAGCAGTTTCCTATAGTAGTCTTCCCAGCATGGAGGCGGGAAATGAGTAGAAGATCCTGATGACTCATTTTATTTTTCCTGCCAATGCACGCTCTCTTTATAGAAACAGAAGAGAAGGGAATTCAACTAGAAGGGAAGGGTAGGATCCTGCTCTTTCTGCCCAGTGGTTTTTCAGTTAGCTCTTTACCCACCTCCCCTGGGAAATCTGAAAAGTTGCTCTGGCGTTTCAGGGACCGCTCAAGAATCATATCCAAGGATTAATGGCCAGATGCAAAAGATTTTAAAATGATTCACAGATAAATCCTCTTAGAAGGAGGGAAAAAAAACACTGATTTTGCTTACTGTAGTCTATTATATGTGAAAATTTGTAAAATAATTACAGCTACATAAAAAGTCATTAACTAGTCAATTCTCTGTTTTAAAATACAGGAGCCACAGCTGCTGCCCGGAAGGAGGTGATAAGGAACAAGATCCGAGCAATAGGCAAAATGGCCAGAGTGTTCTCGGTTCTCAGGTGGGGTCATTGTTTCTTTATTTCCATTTTGCATTTGATTATGTGTCTGTTAATAAACATGTTAATACTTTAATCTGGTGATTTAAGTGCTTTATTAGATGACATTTGCTTTGCTGTAATTTTTTTTCTTTTAAATGGAATTGTCAGTTCCTCATTGTTTTAGTCAAATTGAAATACACCAATTTCCATAGACTATTTTACATTTTATCCCTCTATTTGCTGCCAAACTTCAAAACATTTATTTCTCAATAAGTTGGCCATGTGGTGAAATAGGAGAGCTATTATAATTTTTTTTTTTCATTCTGGCTCAATGGTAAAAGATGAATTTATTACATGTATTTCACTAGATTTCTTAGAAATGAACATCAACTATAAAGCCTGTTCGTGTGAATCTATATTGTTGTAATAAATCATTGAGAGAAAAAAAATAGCTTTTCAATGTGTCAATTCCTATGTAATAGTTATTTTTTTAAATAGACCACGAATTGTGTTGTTATTAAGCCTGGATCCAGAAAAGAAGAATTTTCTTGAAGAGGATTAACTACATTTTTCTTAAAATCAATTATCATATCTTGGATAATACAAAGAAACTGTATTTCTCACAAAAATTAGTTTAAAATATGGCATGTTTATATGTGAGGAGTGAATAGTTAATTCACAATCACACATTTAAAAGGGTAAATAGGGAAATCTTGGGAAATAGTCCATCTACATATTGTATAATTTCAGTTTTACCAAATTTTTTCTTCAATTCTTTCTCATAGAGTAGCTACACTGGGTCTTTTGATTTCTCTTGCTGTTTCAATCCTACTCCTGGTAGTCACAAAAAAGTGACTAAATGACTTGATGCCTCAAGCAGGGAACCATGAGAAGGATGAAAAGTATTATTGTCTTTTCTCGAAGACGCCAGCCAAATCTTGATAAGTCATGTTAAAATTGAAAATAGAGCATTGAAGCTTCCTACAGCCTGATGAATGAGGCTGCCTTTGCTCTAATGCTTTACATTCCTAATGGAACTTTTCGGACTCATTCCTTCATTCAATAATAAATATGATAAAACTTAATAAACCATTCTGTACCATGAAGAAAATAATAAGGCAATATAAAGACATAGCAAGTGGGAGATGAGGCACTTAGTTTAGTGTGTGGTCAACAAAGAACGTTCTGAGTAATGGCATTTGAGCAAATGTGGGGATGACCTTCGTGGAGAGATGGAGTAAGAGTGTTCAAGGCCCAGAAAGAGCAAGTGCAGGACTCTTAGGTAGAAACAAGATCAGCAGGTTCGAGGACCAGCGAGGAGGCCTGTGTGGCTAGATTTACTATAGGGGAGAGAACTATAGAAAGATTGAAAGCTCAACTGACACCTCGACATAAATGCTTCCTATTTATTTTGCCTCAGATTTACCGATAAATGCTCTTATTTCGTTTCTTATCTGAAATCTCTACAAGAAGAAGTAAAAACAGCTCTAGAATTTCCATGTTATAGTAAACTTAGGGGAAAAGGGTTATTGTTTCTGTCTATGTTAGTCTTCAAACCACATAAAGTGATAGGAGCAATGTTACAAGTCATAGGTAGCTCTTAAATTTGGAAAGTCTGTCTAGTACCCTGTCTGCTGGTACATAAGATGTAATTATTCCCAACTGGAAAACAGTCTGTTTGAACCCAGTGATGATCAGTGACTTGACTAATATTGCACATAATGATAGAACAGAGGAGGGGTCATATCTAGAGAAAAGTAAGTTAAGCTTATTAAGTAAAGATTGAGCATTAAATGTGTATAATATACTGAGTTAGGCAAAATGGATACCAAAGTGGAATGCCAGACATGTAGACCATAAACTAATAATCTAAGAAAACGAAATGTGTGCTACATACAAGAAGAGATGCTCTGCTGTGGAAGAACACAGCGAGGAGCCCCTTGTATTTCCTGAAAGGAATATTCGTGGAGAGATTGGCGTTGGAGGAGTGTATGAGGATAAGCTGGATTCCACTGAGGAGAGAATGGTGGTGAAGGCATTCCTTTTTCCTGGAAGCTGAGAAATCATCAAGAACACAGTCACACAATTCTAAGAGCAACATTATATGGGATGCTGGTTAAGTGCCAGGAGCCATGCCCCATGCTGTACGCACTTGATAGGAATCCACACAGCAATCTTGCAAGGTCAGGTTGACCTCAGTGAGCAAATTGAAACTGAGAGAGGCTAAGTAGCTTGTCCAAACTTAGTAAGCAGCACTAATGAGAGTCTGATTTGAAAGTGAACTATGTAGTCAATGAATTCCAAGTATTTAAAGGAGCTGGATAGTGAGGCATGAAGGTGAATGAGGAATCTAGTAAAAAAATGAGGCTGAAAATGTGTTTAAATCCAAATCCTTGATGGCCTTGAGTACCATGGTAAAGCATTTAATTTTTTGTACGTAGGAAATGAGGAGTCAAGGAATGGTTTTCATGAGATGAGAGGCAGCTGTTATCCAAGTTTAGATATTGTATATTAATGATAGTATAGAGATTGGATAACAAGATGACTTAGTGGTGTCGAAAGAATATGAAGCTTCTCTGGCCAGGGTGTAGTGGGCAGTGGACCCCAGAAAAACAAGGAAACACACTCCGTAGTTTTTCAGGAGTGATAAGTGCTTTAGATAAATAAAATACATAAGGGGAGATAGAGAATATAGAAGGTGCATGTTATTTTAAACAGCATTCTCAAGGATGTCCTCATGATAGAAGGGGATGCATGAGCAGACCTGAAGGCAAGGAGTGAGTGAGCCATGCAGATGTCGGAGGAAGAGTGTGAGAAAACAACTGCAGAGCCCTGAGGTGTGGAGGTGCTGGGTATATATTTGAGGAGTGCTAATGAAAGTAGACACTAGTAGGAAATACAATCCAAGAGATGGATGAGGATGGAGGAGTGTGGGTTGAGGGCTAGTTTTTAAGGCTCTTGTCAAATCTAAAGATTTCGCCTTTCGCTCTTAATGAGAGAAGAAGCCACTGGAGAGTTTTGAATAGAGGATCTGCTTAGGTATTAAAAGGCTCAGTGTGGCTGCTACACTGAGAATAGTTATGGCGGGGAGCGGGGGGCAGTTGGAGGGTGGGCGTGTTATGGAGATGGAAGGGTAAGAGCTTGATGAGGATAGAGCAGAAAGACTAGTCTGAGACTGCTAGAACAATCAGGGAAGAGATGCTGGTGGTTAGCAAAAGAAATCAGTCACAAAAGGCCACATGTGTGATTTCATTTATATGAAATCTAGAAGAAACAAAGCTACAGAAAGTTGCTTAGTAGTTTGACAGGACTGAAAAAAAATGAGATGTGACCTCTAATGGACAAAGAATCTCTTTTTGGGGTGATGAAAATGTTCTAAAATTGACTACGGTGATGGTTTCACAACTATGTAAATATACTAAAACCGTTGGTTGAATCGCACACTTAAAATGAGCAAATTGTATGGTATGTTAATTATATTTCAATGAAGCTGTTTTTTAAAAAAGAGATGAGAGAGTAGTATTGTGGGAAGTGGTAAAATACTGAAACTATTTTGAGGGTGGAGCCATCAGATTTGCTGACCGAGTAGATGTGACGTGAGAGGATAAAAGCAGTTAAAGAGCGAGTCTTCAAGCATAACTAAAAGATGGAGTTGAAGAAAGATTTTGGAAGGAGCAGGTTTGGGGGGGCAGTTTAAGAATTATGTTTGAGTCATGTTAGACATAAAAATGTGGAGGAAGTAGTTGCACATATTATAAACATTGGATATATAAAAAATGTTAACTTGTTTGGGTTATATAGGATTACAGTGTCTACTGTGTGGAAAGATATGAGATTATTCCTATTTCATGGTTATTTAAGCATCATGTTAATACTATGCTGTCATTAATAAAGATAATTGAAATAATGATGTACCTAAAACTAATTGTAAAACATTTGTCATAGTGAGTAATAAAATGATTTTATATTAGCAAATCATTAGAGGAAAGAAGCCACTGAAAAGAAAAGCTGGGAAATTTTACCAGTTGCATCGTTGACTAGTTGCCATTATTTTGCATGTTTATCATGTAATATCAGAATTCTTTAACAGTCCCCTGTATCTAACTCCTAGTTTCCTAATCCATAGATGGATTTTTTTTTTAATCTCCGATATACTCTCTGGTTTTCTCTCCCAAATTAAATCAGCTTCATTTGTTTTTGCTGAGCCTAGGCTGAAAACCTTACAGGATGCCCAGCAAACACACTCTGTGTTGTAATGCCTGCTTACTAAATCAGAACTGTTTTCTGTTTCTTCAATATTCAGAAGAGATTTAACCAACACAATGGCGTAATTGTAAATTTTACCTTAGTCATGTCATTCACATATCATTACTTCTGTATGAACTTAAAAATATATAGTATGTTTTAAGTTAAAAAAAATCCACAGAGCCAAGATAGATGTAAATGTGAGTTATCATATGCATTTTTTCTTTCAAGTATTTTTTTTTCTTAAAGTTTAACGTAATGCCCTTCCCCCTCCCCAATATTGTGCCTTTCCAGAGAAGAGAGTGAGAGCGTGCTGACGCTGAAAGGCCTGACCCCCACGGGCATGCTCCCCAGTGGAGTGCTTTCTGGAGGGAAGCAAACACTGCAAAGCGGTAAGTGGGCCCATTGGTATAACTGTATGTCTGGAGCATCTCAGTCAGCTGTGTCATTAGATCCCTGAGTTATTCATTCATTTAAGATCGGTCTTAGTCTTAAGTTCTTCTTGGCTCAAAGAAGGACTGAAACCCCATATCAGCTTGACCAACACAATAGCTTCTTCATTCACTGGAATGGAGTCCTTACCCAACCCTGCACTTCTTCATTTACATATTAATCACAATTCAGCCTTCTCTGTAATAGACAGCTCATTTAGGTTGCTTACGCACACAATAGGTTTGACCACTTTGAGTCAATTAGTTGCTAAAACAAATTTTTAATTACATTTTTACTAAATATTCTGGTTATTTACTTGATAGACAAAATACACACACACACACACACACACACACACACACACACACTCATATCCCTCAGTCTAGATTTCAGTGGAAAATGGAGGGAAGAATATAAAAAGGGTGATTTCATTATCTGCTTAAATAGAAAATGGGAGTCATATATGTCTTTTTCTGATTTATACACCCAAAACATAGTTGAGTAGAACCACGTTTTATTTTTGGAAATGAAAACATTTCTTTTAAAATAGAGATTTTGTATTAAAATCTTTAGCTTTCTTGGACAAGTGCTGTTCAATAGAACTTTTTGGAAATTTCTGTATCTGTACAGAAACCACTGGCAACATGTGGCCTATTGGACACTTGAAATATAGCTAGTACAACTGAGAAACTGAGTGCTTTATTTTTTTCTAATTTTCATTAATTCGATCTAAATTGCCACATGTAGCTAGTGGCTACCATATTAGATAGCATGGTACTATACACTCTTTTACTTTTGTTACTTTTGTTATCTAATATTATCATTAATTAGAGTCTAGTTTTAACAATGCTTTATGGAAATTTTGCTGTTAGATTAGACTTTAACAGAAAAAAATGAAAACAAATATACTCTAACATTTTCAAAGCAATCTTAGCCTCTTGCTTATTTTTCTATATCTTTCCCTGAACCTTTTTTTTCTATCCCTATCTCTCAATCTAGAAGATTCAGATGTTCTTACAATTACATTATTTAGACATACCTCTTTTACATAGAGTAATGTTTAACTTCATGAATGTGGTGCTAAGTGATCACATCCTAGCAGCATCACTCTAATTTTCTTCATATTCATATGAATTTATTCTAAAATCAATATTTTTCAATTTCCACAAAAAGAGAAAATTTTCTAAATGAAGGTAGGAAAATATATGAAACTGAAGTAAATTCTCCCTTTATAGCTAAAAATTATTTTAATAACTTTTTAAAAAACACAAAATAATTCTTCCCACCAAAGTGAACACGCTCTCAAAACATTAGCATAAATGGATCTTTTATACTCATAGAATGCACAACTACCTAATTGACTGAAATCTGCATAGTTTTTGATGAGCACGTTTTAAGGTACTCTAAGTGTATTATCAGAAACTATGACTACATTTGTTTAAGAAGGATACATTTAATAATGGGCAGTACATATTTCTATTATGTCGTGCTGGTATGGTTCCACATATTTTGCTTTACTTTTAAACCTCAGTTATTTAAGTTATTACAATTCTTAGTTTTGTTTCCAGATTTTTACTTGTATTTTAACTTAGATTATTCTGTTCTTTTCTGTTACTTTATTTTAAATCCACCGTTTGTGTTATCTTGTGTTGGATTCACACACACACATAAACCCGCATGCGCAAAGCAGACAAAAAAGGGTTGGAACGTCATTAGTCCTGAGAATTTGAAAACTCAGAATATATTTTAAACCACATATATTAATGCAACTTCAAATTCCATTATCTGATGCCCTTCAGTTTGTCAAAAGGAGAAACTACTTCAAGCTTTACTATTCTCCATGGTGATAATCATCGTACTTTCTTATTAGAAGGAATTTAGAATGCAGTGTAAGTAAATTGTAGTGCACATTTGGCAGTTGCCCTAGATTTAAAACCTTAAATTATAAGAAATATGCAAATTAAAGTCAAGGGGTAGAATTTTAATAGTAAACATTTTGGAATTACAGAGAAGTTTTGCATGTTAGCACTTAATTAGGGAAATATCAACTACCTTGATGGCATAGAAAGACTCATACACCTGTGCAGTGTAAATAGACCCTAACCTTATTATAAAAGTTGCTGATGAAGCAATAGGCTTTTAAAGTTTTGCCTCAGAAGTATGCTGATCTTTCTGTATTTGAGCAGCCTTTTCTTTAAAGTGCTGATAGAATTATTGCTGCTATTGGCATGTTACCACTTGATTGTAACATTTCAAGAATTTTGTTCCCAAAATGATATTCCAGTAAGAAAAACTGATTTTAAATTGGATTACTTGGCAAAAGAAATCCAGACTATATGATTCTCTTCCTTTACTCTTTCTCCTTCACCACTCTAATAATGCTCAGTGTTTGTCTTTAAAGAATCACAGGCATTATCAACTCACATACATTAATTTTATTCTTCCTCTAAATTTACACCCTCTTGCTTTTCCATTGCACTAGGCTATTTAATATGAAATAGTATGAATTACTCCACTGACATGATGGCACAATTCAAGTTCTGCCATTTAGTCTGGCATTTTAAAACTACATATCACCATCCATAGTAGTGGTTTTCTTGAAATTTGTGTGAGTCAAATGCACATTTTAGACTGACTTGGCCCCTTATCAATTCAATCTAAATAAAAGAAAACTCTCCCTTTTTCCTAAGGGGTTAATCATTTTGTCATTTATTTAGTGAGCAAAAACCAAAACAGTTCACTCATAGAGGTACGTCCATCTCATAAGTTAAACTTATCATTTTATTGTGTTTCTTCTTCTTTTTCTTTCTTTTTTTCTTTTTTTTTTTTTTTTAGCATTTCTGTTTTGTTTGTCTGTGCCAGAATCCAGCACTTACAGGAACATGAATTCTCTTAGCTCCCTTGATCGTCACTGATTTGTTCTTAGAATTAAAAATCCTCTGCTCATTTTTCTCATTCATTTTGCACTCCCTTTCTTCTCTTCAGCTACTGTTGAGGCTATTGAGGCTGATGAAGGTAAATTGGCCAGTCCCCTTTCTGTTGTACCTGCAACAGATAAGGGCTCTGCTGGGTGTATTCATTTATTTTATTTTATTTTTTTGCTGTAGCTTGTACAGAGTGTGTGGGTGTTGGGCTAACAGTTGTGGCTCAGTATTAACCAAAATGTTCTTGCTTTAAAGGGGAAAATGTCCTTTTATGGTTTGTTTGTTTGTTTTTTTTCCCTTAAAGCTATGTTTGACTTTGTATACAATGAACCTAGGATAATCACAGAAAACAAAAGGATTATATATCTTGAAAGATGTGGGGTGGGGGTTATGGCAGCTGTTTTGACAAATGACGCATAAAACAATATTCTTTGAGCTGAACCATGTCCCTCCCTTAAATCACTTCAGTCAGCATTGAAAAGGAGAGAATAAAAATAGCTTTATGAATTCTAGTCTTCAGAAGTTTCTAGCAAGAAAAAAATGTTTATTGGAATGGTGCTTTGTTGTAGTTAAACATTAATTTATGTCTCTAAAAAATATTCCAACCCGAGACAGCTGTGTATGAGATAAACGGTTCTGCTACTCTTATCAAATTTGAACCTATTGGTATTTGTAGTACAGTTAGCATCAACAAAGTGGCTGTGGAAGTGGCCACAGGTAATAAAAACAGTGATGATGGAGTAGCCACTCAATGGATTAACGTTTACAGAGTGTCTGTTTTGCTCCAGGCACTGTGCTAGTTGCAGGAGAAATCAAGACATGTCTATCACCAACTGTCCTGGTACTGCTCAAGGACAATAGACTTGGCCCTTGAGCAATTATTTTTTAATTGAATGCTTTTTAAATGTATAGATATGAGAGAAATGCATTTCAATATAGTTTTTAATATCTGTATACCATACCCTCTGGAAATTTTAAAAAGAATAATTTGAAGTTCCCCTTTAAAACAAAATTTTTCAGTTGTATTTTGTTCTTGCAAAATAACTTTTTATTTTTCCCAAAATTGTGTGTATCTAGTTCTTTGATATGATGTAAAAAGTGCCACTTTAGATTCTTTAATTTGTCCGTGATTTGGATATGGTGGGGGAAATGATAGCACTGTAAGAGAAAATACAACTGCTTCCTAAATAGCAGTGAATAAACTGCTATTTATGTGGGAATTTTCTATTCCTCTTGGCAAATTCTAATCTGCAGTGTGCATTCTTGTTGATAGTTTGGCTGTTTTCTGTGGTTTCTGTGACTCTGTGTTGTGTTAAGTATACTACCAATGTAAATTGCTAATACCCATTGTCTGACCAGCAACTACAGCAGAGCACATTCTTCCATACCAGGCTAGACAAAAAAGGTTAGAAATGGAGCCCCATTCTGAACGTATTCATTGTTCTAACTAGATTTTGAATTTCTACACTCTCACCTTATTGGCTTTTAAAACCTAGAGATTTCCACTTTTATCATTGAAATTAATAAAATCGTGTTTTAAATTATGATGAACTTTTTATATTTACTAATTATGATGAAATTGTATTTGCCATAGTTTAGAAAAAGAACACTACCACTTTGTGCAATTGTTTTGTCCCTCCAAATAATCGAGTTAGTTTTCAGGGTGGGTGCTCATTAGACAGCTCTATTATTTTATAATTTATTACTAAATTAGAGAAGAATTAAGAAGCTTTGCTTTGGGCCTTGGTCTTTCTCCATTTCCCCATCTTCTTCCTCCCACAGTTGACTAATCACCATGATGCTAACCTTTAAAATGCAGAGGGGAAACAAACTATTTCTCATCGTTTAATGAGTTTAGAAGCAACTGTGTATATCTTTTAAGAATCTCATCCATACTAATCAAAGGCACTGCACATTTGTGTAGGAGTGGCTGGCAAAGGTTCAGCTTGAAACTACTTTCCTTTTTTTTCCCCAAATATGGCAGTGGGGGATGGGGACTAGGGGAGATAAAGGTACCATGAAATTGTCCTTAATCAGCCATGGAGATGCAGCCCAGTTCAGCATTGGTGATTGGCCCTTCAGTATCTGGCTTGCACTTCACAGGGAAGTAAAGCAAACTGATGTCATTGGTTCTCCATTTACATACTTTATTTTCAGCGTACTGATTGGTGCACCCACTGGAGAAATCATTAAGTTTCTTGCATAAACACCTTACCTATTTCTGGAGCACACTAAAGGTTACTGGGGAAAAAAATCAAATGTCAATGCTCCCCCTTTGAGAATTCCATGTTTTCATTGAATAGGGCCCAAACCAGCCCTATTCATTCTTGCTAAAAGTCGTGAAAGGCGTTTTCCCTGTGTTATTCTTGAACCATCGCTATGTCTACATTGACCTACCAAAAAAGAGTTTTCCTTTAATTTAGACAGGAATGGATACCAGATGAACATCAGTTTGGCCTGTTCACTGCTGAAGGGCGGACAAGTTTTCTACTTAGTGATCTGATCTTGATTTTTCTGGGTTCCTCGTATGGTGTCACCAACTCCACATGCTTCCAAAGTTGACTGCAGAAGTGGGAGTTTGTAATTTTATTTTTTTCATGCCATCATCGAGTTGTTTTCTGGAAGAGCCTGTCTGGGATTCTGAGCTGGCATGAAAATCCCCCAAGTTAATTCCTTGTATCTTCTTTTAGCTTCTGCTCTAAACTTATGACCAGAATTTTAGGTATATCTGCCTCAGTGATTCTACTGACGTTGCTATTACTAGCTGAGTGGAATAGTAAATATAGGGCTATGTTCCAGTCTGCCTGAGTCAGGGTGTTGGATGCAGGAATTCAGCTAATGATGTGGCCAGTTGGTGCTGTGCTGGGTCTAGAGACCTATCCCTGGTAGCATCATTCCTCCTTACATATCCATTTTGGATTTTGTTGATCTAAACTTTCATGAAGACGAGAAATGTTTTCATCTTACTAACTTGAAGAGGACATTTTGGTTGGCAAGAGACATTGGCTGTTTTCAAACCTTTTGGTTACCTTCAGGTATGGTAAGGAGTCTGTTGTGTTGTGTTCAGGTCCCGTCACTTGTTCTCTACTAAAGGATTCCCTCTCTCACTGCGAAATCTCTAACATCACCTGGTGCAACAGCCGCGCCTTTTGTCTTCCTCTGGCTAACCTGATTTTTCTTTTTTTAATGGTTTTCTGTTTAGCTATCAAAGGATTTTCACCACAACATAAGATCACTAGCTTCGAGGAGGCCAAGGGCTTAGACCGAATTAACGAGAGGATGCCACCTCGCAGAGATGCCATGCCCTCTGACGCCAACCTTAACTCCATCAACAAGGCTCTCGCCTCAGAGACTAACGGCACGGACAGCAATGGCAGTAATAGCAGCAATATTCAGTGACCACTTCCTGTTCACTCTTTTATTTGTTTCTTTCTTTTTTTTCTCTTTTCCTTTCCTTTTTCTTTTTTCTTTCTTTCTTTTCTCTTTCTTTCTTTTTTCTTTCTTTGTGTTTTATGGTTTTTTGTTGGGGTTTTTTTTGGAGCTGCAGGGCATGGTGGGGATTGCTGCATATCAGCAGTTGGATGTTCTTGCCTCTGAAGGTAGCTTATTTGCTGTAGGGGCCAGGAATTGGATTCAGTTTACACTATCATTAAAAAAGAGGGAGAGATATAATAAATTATATTTTGGTGGGGATGGTGATTAAACACCTCTTTTGGGTAATGCCTTTTAAAAATGCTTATAGAAAAAAAATAAAAAGAAAGCTAATGCTAGTATATACTGCGATGTTAGGGAGTGAACATGTTTTCCTACTGCATTGGGGACTTCTAGATAGGTTAAAGATAGGTCTTTTATTATGTTACTGGACACGAAAACTTTGTCTAATTTCTTACTCTATTGTACGTTTACAGTTGCAGCACTAAAAATGGATGACATCAAACATTTTTAACAAAATGATGTATAAACTAAATAAGGACTATTTATTGATAATGTTTTGCTACTCTTGTCAGACAATGGCTATAAAATGAATTAGGCAGTCTTAAAAAAAAAACAGAAAAAGAAAAAAAAAAAGAATGTTGCAAATTTATTAAAATGCCAAAAAGGACAGTTTAATTTTGTACAGATTATGCTTACCTCAGGTTTCTTTAGTGTGCTTGAATGCCCTTTTTTCAATATAACACATTAATTTAGCAATGAAAATCTTTTTGTTTCTTTTCTTTAAGTTTAAAAAACTGGAATAATTACATCCATCTTTTTTTGCTGTTTATATTTAGGGATTTTTGTTGATAAATCAAGTCTTGGTTGTGGCTTGCTGAATTAAATATTTATGAGTGGTGCATTTTTAAGTATAGTGAACAAGACACCATATTAAGTACAGTGATAAAGCATCTATATTCTGTAAAAAAAAAAAAATCTGCCTATGCATGTTTTTTAAGAAAAAAAAATGGCTGTATCGGCCTGTATGGGACTGTAATGCGCTTAGTGGTCTGACATATACTGGAAATGTATGTATACTGGCGTACTTTATATTCTCTAAAATGCTTAATGCCTTTGAAATTTTGTAATCAAAAAAAGCTTTGAAAAAATCTAAAGGGGAGAGTATTCTTAAAAGTTTTTAACATAAGCTTGTCAGTGCACATATAGCCGGTTAGCATGTTTAGCAACCTTGTGAAATTTAAATAAGTTTGTAGTTACATGTGAAACTCTAAATGCATGGTAACTGTTAATGTCATAACGATTTAGTTATTTTGTTCTATTCTGTCATGTGCCACACACTATGTACTTTTTTCACTTTTTTCCCTTTGTATATCAGTTACGGGTTACAACTGGTTCATTCTGAAAACAACAACAAAAGTCCATTCATATTTTTTAACAATTGTATAAGTGCCCAAGTAATTCACTACAGCCTAAAGCCTTGCCTTTGTAATTTGACTTCTGAAATGTTGGCAATCAAAGCATGCACTTGTAACAATGAAAAAGAAAAAGCATTTTATATTACTACTCAATAAAATGTGCATGAACTTAAAAAATTCTCATCCTTTCACTGAGTCTGCTGAAGGGATTTCTGTGCACAACCACCATGCTGTCTTCTAGGTGCTGGGCCCACCACCGTTCATCACGGAATTGCTCTCAGAGGCTTCCCCGAGGGCCTCGTGATCTACGGTGCGGTGCCTACTTCCGCTAAAAGAAGCTTGGTGGCTTTGTGTCTCGAATCAGACAAGAGAAATATATTTAAAGAGCAAATGCCATCTTCTGGCTCCCTCGAGTGTGGGAGCCAGTTAAGAAACTATAGCATTCCTTTTTATTGAAAAAAAAAACGAAATTTGTTATCAGGTTGTTTCAGTTGTATTGGATGCCCTATCTGCTAAAGCAAAAAGAACTAAGCTACTAAGTGCATTTTCATCACAAAAGAGAGTTGCATTTGTATTGATATAAAATTTGTATACCGGCGCTTCAGCTAATATCTAATCACCTGAAGATTTAAGATACACCAAATTTCAGTTTGTTTCTAACATTGTTCATTTTCAGTGCACTTTGTTTTATGTAATAAAGTATGCCTGTTATATGAAATAATAAGAATATGGCAATTAGTGCTATAGTGTACCAAAACAAAGATGTTCTAGATATATTCTCTGACAAAGACTATCCCAAATTTATTTTAATGAATCCATACACTTTTTCCCCCTGTGGATATTTTCTTCCTAAAAAAATGACATTCAAAGAAAATATTTAGATGCAACTTATTAGAATGATGTGAAAGACATGATAATTCTGGTACCAAGGTGTTTATTTTCTTTCTTATATCTGCAGAGAAAATATCCTGACAAAACAAAAATTTTTTTGGATTCTTTTCTTTTACAAATTGTGCTGAGGCGACTATGGCATAGAAATAAACATTTGACATTAAAATAAGCAGTCGATGTGAGTATTGCTTGGTCTTTCTGGTCAGTGGTTAGGAAAGTAATACTATATATTTTTGCATAATTCAGCGTATCAAATAAGTCAATGTAGAAATAAAGTTATTTCTCTGAAAGGGATAACACTGCCAGATCTATCTCCTTTGCTTTAGGAGAAACTGTTGAATTTTTGAGTTGCATGTGACAGTGAATCTTTGGCTGCACACACACACACACACACACACACACACACACACAGAAACAGCCTTCTGTCACCTCTGTACCCTGCCTTCCCTCACCCACCCCCAAGGTGACTTACCTCTCATGGGGTTCAAACACAGTGCTGAGTTTTTATCTAGCTTTTCAAGGGTTAAGAGCTAGCTTTGACTGACCCTCGGTCAACTATTTTATCTAAAATATTCTCTACTTTATATCCTTTTAAAATTTTTTTTTTTGAAGAAAAGAAAGAAAAATCTTCAAAGACGAAACTTGTATGATGAGGGGAACAAAGTGGAGAGAGAGAGGAGCATGGCCATGCACAGACAGCGCCTTGCCCCTGGGCAGAGCATCAAAGTGGAGGTACCGTGTGGCATCAGCCCAGAAAGTGTCGTGGTGATGCTGATGCTGAAGCCCAGAATGATCTTGTCCTGAAACATTTATTTTCTTCCCACCCCACCACATCCATGTGAAATAATAAATTTTAGTATGCATCTATTTTTTTTTGCTCCCAAACCAGAGCCCCTATGTGAAGCTTACTTAAATGTCTCTGGCTTTTCCTCAACAACTTTATATGTCCCACCCACTGGAGCCCTCTTGTCAGACTCCATTAAGAAGTCAGCTTGCTCTACCTGAGTGCCTACATTTCTTCAAGACTGGAAGCTCCTTGAACCGGACAAATCTGAGATCCCCAAACTAAAGACATTTCCTTTTTCCCTGGTATGTGGACTTTCATTTTATTCACTCCACAAACATTGATCTTCTCTGACATTCCTCTCACTACTCTAGGTTCTTATTTTTTTTTCCACAAAAAAAATGCTAGGCAATCTTGACAGCATATCAGTTTTCCTTATGATGGTTAAATGTCAGCATTTCATCAAATAGTCAGTGTCTGGCTTAACACAGAGCTGTTTTTCAATGCTACTTTTACTCTATTTCATGGATGTTTCTTTCATATATATTTTAAGGCAGTGCTAACCAGAAAAGCCCGTAATAAGGCCCTTTCATGATAAATTTTTTAAAATATACATTTGTAGTAACAAGAGGCAAGAAGTAGCAAAACAAATGTAACTCTGGTGGTCACATTTTCAAGAGGCAACATGGACAAATTGGATGCATGTGGGAGAACTGAGATGCAGTAGAGGAGAAGGTCTTTTTTAAGGGAAGACTAAAGACACAAAAAGGTGAACAGAAGGAGACATGAGAGCTATATAATTGAATTGGTTATTCCCAAAGACCTTGCTTCAATAGGAAAGATACCTATTTATCATAAAGTAGAGGTTGTTAAATGAATGAGCCTGTTTAACCAAAGCCTGTTCAACTGCAGGAGAATGTGGATGCCCCTTCGCTGGGTTGTGTACAACCTAGGCCGACTGGGCTGAGTGCCACAAGCCCAGTGCTTGTGCACGTAGGGGACTGGGCTTAATGCTGCTGCATGGAAGGAGCTTTGCTAGACAGTAGAGGGGCTCTCTTCAAAGATTATAACAAAATTACCCTTCAATTTTTATAGTTTTTTGGGAGCATAGGATTTTGATTTGCAAACTGTTCCCAAGAATCCCATGCTTACAGAAAGGGCTGAGCTTTCTGAGTCAACCAAAGGAACCCTTCTATCTGTTTTTGCACAATAAGCTTGTATATAAGTTAGCTGAGAAGAATCTAGTCCTATGATATTCTTGTCAAGTTATACTTTGAAATCATTTTGTACCAAGTGCTGGGGATACCTAGGTTTATTCCCAACAACTCTAAATTGTCTCCAGAACTAAACCTAACATCCTCAGGGTGGCATGCAAGGCCATTCACGGTCTGACCCTCACTAGTCTCATCTACCTCCACTTTCCCCAACCTAGCCCCAAGCTTCAGCCAGGCCAGACGTTTCCTCTTCTCTAAGTGCATAGTATCCTGTAATACCTATTTTAGCACTTTATCCACTGTGTATACTTGTTTACTGTCTTTGTCTGGCACTTCAGTGAGAATCTTTGCTTATCTTTGTTTTCTCAGCAAGTAACAGTGCCTGGCATAATGTTTCCTGGAAGAAGGGCAGGGAAAGAAAGAGAATGAAATGTTTTTCAACATGGTCTCATCAGATGGGTGGGTTACCTTGGAGTTTAACTGGCAAACCCTTGTAGAAGAACAGTTGAAATACTTACCCCAGTTCAGTATTTTCCACTTTTCTCTTAAGTATGAACTAGAGCCTACAGTTCTGAAATGGAGCTGACATTTTAATGAGCATCCACCAGAATTCCTATGATCAAACAAGTTTGAGAAACCATGTCCTAGTTTATTTCTATAACAAATTTAAAGTCCATTCTTATATTTCCAACTGAACAGATTATTTAGCATAGATAAATATTTCGCTGCTTGCCATTGTGGTTACACGGAATCACGTATGACTTAATTTTTGTTTATAGTTGCTTAATGAATATGAATTTAGATGAAAATATAGGAATTATTTATTTAAACCTTAGCATTCACTAGTAGACAGGTTATGGGGAGTAGGCAATAGCCTTTTTGAGTTTATAAGACTTCACTTGGAAAAAGGGATTAAAGCAGTAAACTATCTGGATACTCTTCAGTGAAGAATCAATGAAAAAGCTGTGTGTGTCTTGAAGAGAATGAAATGCTTTCATATTGAAAAGATTGCTTCTTTCATATCACTTTTCCCACTTTAATAACCTCATCCACCATCACAACCAAGTTGTCACTCTTTGTTCAAAAAATGCTTCCTCGAATATATATTTGACACAGGTTGTCTTCAAGAATCTCATAATGTTCCTAAAGTTTTACCATGAGAGAGTCATTCCTTTGGGTTCAACAGCACTTTCTTCAAAAGCCCTTTATTAAAAGATACACATTAAAGAAGGAAACCACAAGCCATTGTCAGTTGCTAACATCTTAGTGAAAATTAACTTGTCACAGTTCTGACATGGCTGGCTAAGGCTAATAAAGATAGGTGTGTTTATAGAGAAGAGAAGGCCACAGCTAGCACCTGGGACAGCATTGTGGCACGATCTCTGGGAGCATTTATTGTGTAGCTCTCTGTGTAAGGTACATGCCAGTGGGCAGGAAAATATAATGGAACTCACAACACAATCTCTTCTCTCCTAATATGTAATAGCAGTGAAAATCATGTTTTGTGCCACACATGCTCACTTCTGTGTAATATACTCTCTTTGAGTTCCAGTCTGGAGCCAGGACTGGGCTGGAATTTATAGCTCGCTACTTACCGTTAAGCCTCTTGCAACGTCATTTTATCCTTGGTAAAATGGAGACGATAAGAGTAATTAATTTGTAAACTTTTTGTGGGGTTTTAAAAGGACAATTCAAATAAAGTGCATGTCATGGTGCCTGGCACAAAATAAGCACTCGATAAACTTTAGGTTTTGTTGTGGCATTCAGCAGCAGCTCAATCATGTGAGTACTTACAATAGATATTCTGTAGAAAAAGAGGTTCGGGGGTGTGTGTGTGTGTGTGTGTGTGTGTGTGTGTGTGTGTACACGCGCATGAGCCTGCGTGCGAGGTAGTGGTTGGGAATATATGTATAGTCAGAAAAATCCTAAAAGAAATGGCATTGGGTTGGAACCTTCCTAGGAGCGCGGGTTGGTAGGGGAAGGAATTAGGGGAGAGGGTGGGAAGACACTCTAGCCTGGGAGAAAAAGTAAGAGCGAAGAGAAGATCCAGAAAAAAAGTGACGTGGACCACCACGGGTGAAGCATAAGAGGAGGGGGGCACGAGAGGAGAGTGACAGGGGAGAGTGGAGCCAAACGAGTTACTCGAATCAGGAGGTGTCTCAGGCACACCTAACCAAAGCAAGGTTAACTGTGCTCAAACCGTAAAGACGTTTACGGTTACTTAAGACCTTTGGGACTCTGTGGTCCCAGGATTAGTTTGATATCTCAACATTATCATCAAGGAGCTAATAAGCTCTTTCCAGGCTTCCTCTCACACGCTTCTTCTGGTAGCTTCTGTCTTTGTGGTTGCAAAGGACTGTCACAGTTTCTGGCGTCACTTTCTTACACAACACTGTCTGACTACTGGAAAATACCACCAAAATAACCTATAAATAAAGCGAAGCTGAATTTACTGCCTACGGTAGTCATGTAACCACTGCCCTGGCAGAGTCATAGTAAATCCAGAAGGGGACAAAGCAAAAGCATAATATTTACAGAGTTTCTTTTTTCTGGCAAAGGTTTCTCTTTCCATGCAGGAGTCTCGACAGGATTGGGCAAGGTTCGTAACGTAATAGTTTAAGGTTCGTAGAAATAGCAAAAGGAGAGTTATTAAGTGAATTTTGAAGAGTTAGCAGTAAATATCTGAGTTAAAATAATAAACATTATTTTGGTCTCGTAAGTCTTTTGGTCTTAAAGATATGTATGACAATTGAAAGCAGAAATTGTAAAACAACAAAATGCTGATGAAAGAAATCAAAGGAGACCTAAATAAATGGAAAGACATGCTAAGTTCATTAATTGGAAGACTCTATGTACAGACATGCATCACTTAATGATGGGCAATATATTCTGAGAGACACGTCGTTTGGCAATTTCATTGTTTTGTGAACATCATGGAATGTTCGTACACAAACCTAGATGGTATAGCCTACTACACACCTAGGCTATGTGGTATAGCCTATTGCTCCTAGGCCACAAGCCTGTACAGCATGTCACTGTACTAACCACTGTAGGCAATTGCAGCACAGTGGTATGTATTCATATATCTAAAGTTAGAAAATATACAGTAAAATCTGACATAAAAGATCAAAAATGATACACCTGTACAGGACGCTTACCATAAATGAGAGC